CACAGACGTGCCTGGGTGGGGTGCCCAGATAAGGAACAAAGCCTGTGTTCTTTCCTGAAAGTCAGGACGAGGCTTGGGCGGGGCCTGGGTACCGGTTGGATGGACCAGCGTGGATCACAGACACAAGGAACAGACCCCTCAGAGGCCTGGATGTCTTTCCGAGGAGCAGGTAGGGGTCGCTGACTGAGGTGCTGACACCACCAGGCAGAGAGTGATTGAGACGCAGGAGCAATGAGCGAAGCCTAGGGGCTGGCCCAGCTCTGGTCGCTGCCTTCACGGCTTACCATGAAGTGTCTGTCACCCAGCAGCACCTCCTATCATCATCTCCTCAGGGTGCACGCTGACCAGGAGGGCGCCCTCGACCCCAACTTCCTGCCCTGCACACAGGCCCTTCCACAGGGCCCTCCTAGCAAAAGCTTCTTCAGATTCTGAGTGTGAATGGGTCTGCCTGAAGCTGCCAGGGTCCTCCTACACCTGAGGAGGAAGTCCATCATCATCTGGCTGAGAGACCTCCAAAGTGTCCTGGTGGGTGGGTCCCCTGTCCATGGGCCCCAGGTTAGTCTCACCTCCGCCCATCTGTGCCTCTATTACTCCTGAGGCTTAGGAAATAGAGATTCTTTCTTTCTTTCTTTCTTTTTCTTTCTTTCTTTCTTTTTCTTTCTTTCTTTCTTTCTTTCTTTCTTTCTTTCTTTCTTTCTTTCTTTCTTTCTTTCTTTCTTCCTTTCTTCCTTTCTTCCTTTCTTCCTTTCTTCCTTTCTTCCTTTCTTTTATTTTATTTTATTTTATTCAGAGAGGAAGGAAGAGAGATAGAGAATTAGAAACATCGATGAGAGAGTCACCGATCAGCTGCCTCTTGCACACCCCCCACTGGGGATATGCCCGCAACCAAGGTGCATGCCCTTGACCGGAATCGAACCCGGGACCTTTCGGTCCCCAAGCCGACGCTCTATCCATTGAGCCAAACTGGTCCCGGCCCTTTCTTTCTTTCTTTTTTTTTTTTTTTTTTTTTTTTTAAATATATTTTTATTGATTTCAGAGATGAAGGGAGAGGGAAAGGAAGATAGAAACATCAATGATGAGAGAGAATCCTTGATAGCTGCCTCTTGGACGTCCCCTACTGGGGATGGAGCTGAAATCCTAGCATGTGCCCTTGACCGGAATTGAACCTGGGACCCTTCAGTCTGCAGGCTGACGCTCTATCCACTGAGCAAAACCAGCCAGGGTAGGAATAGTTTCTTGCAGTCAAGAACTTTCCAGCATTGTGGATGTCCCCAGAATGACTGGCTATGCCCTGCCTCCTGGCTGCAGCCATGTGGGCAGAAAATAAAAAAAATTAAGACTCAAAGAATTCAAAGGTATGCCACATAAAGCAGGAATAACAAAAGTTAAATTAAAAACTTCTGTGCTTCAGAGGACACCATCAAGAAAGTGAAAAGACAACGCATGGAATGAGAGGAAATATTTGCAAATCATCTATGTGATGAGGAATTTGTACCCAGAATATATATAAAGAACTTCACATCCCCACAAAGGTTTGAACAGACATTTCTCTAAGGGAGATATGCAAATGGCCAATAAACACACAAAATCATTAGCCTGACATCATTAGCCATTAGGGAAATGCAAATCAAACCAGTGAGACAGCCCCTCCCACCCACCAGGATGGCCAAAATAATAAAGTAAAATTGTAACAAGTGTCTGGGAGGATGTGGAGAAACAGAACCTTGCCACGTGGCGTGGCGGGTGAGACGGTGAAGTGAAGCCACTGCTCCAGAGAACACTGGGCGCTCACATAATTACACAGGGAGCCGATAAGTGATCCAGCAAGTCCCACTCAAGTCCCATCTGAAAGAAATGGGATTGTGTCCCCACAAGCCTTGTGCAGCTCTGTGCATAGGAGCCAAAAAATAGAAGTAACCCAAATGCCCATCAGTAGACGGATGGGTAAACAAAGCATGGTCAGCCCAGCGCTGGAGTTTACGCAGCCATGAAAAGGAATGGCATTCTGACACATCCCACCTCATGGATGAACCTTAGAAATACTACGCTCAGAGAAAGTAGCCAGACACCAAAGGGCGGAAATCACACGATTCTATTCACATGAAATGTCCAGAACATGGAAATCCAAGGAGACAGGAAGCAGACTGTGGCTCCCTGAGGCAGGGGTTGATGGGAAGATTGGAGTTTGTTCTAAAATTGACGTGATAGTTGCATAAATCTGCAAAGATACTAAGAAAACATTGAATTGCACACTTTAAATGAGTGAATTAGAGGGTATATGAATCACACAGCTATGAAACTGTTTAGGAATAAATTTAAAATCTTTTCCAGGTAATACAGGTCAACATGGAATATGTGAGCACTTTCTGCTGCCTGGCTCTGTGTGACAAGATAGGTGTGACCACAGACACTGGCCACAGACATTGGGGGGCATGAGGGAGTGGGGATTGGTTCCAGGGGCACTCATGCATCATCCTCCCCTCTCCAGCCTTTACACCATCTGCATTTAACAAAGACCAGAGCCTCAGGAATGAGACTCAATAGTCCCTGCCAACACACCTGGCCTGGTGTTCCAGCCAACCTCTCCATGGCAGTTGGGGGGTGGGGTGGTGAGCAGGGAGGGTGGACTTCCCAGCATCTGCGAGCATCACTGCAGGGCTCTCCATACAGGACCACGTCTGCACACGGATTGCACACCCACCCTCTAGGTGGTACAGGGTGATGGATAGAGACACAAGCATTTGAAAGGGCTTTAATCTCTAAGCTGTTACTCTGAATAAACTTCAATATTATTATTATTATTAATTATTATTATTGTCACAAACACACAATAGGACACATGAAACCACTGGAGACGACAAGCCATTATGTTCTAAATTAAGGGTTAAAGGCCATGTAAGGTTGTTTTTTTTTAATATATATTTTATTGATTTTTTACAGAGAGGAAGGGAGAGAGATAGAGAGCTAGAAATGTTGATGAGAGAGAAACATCAACCAGCTGCCTCTTGCACACCCCCTACCAGGGATGTGCCTGCAACCAATGTACATGCCCTTGACCGGAATTGAACCTGGGACCTTTCAGTCCGCAGACCGACGCTCTACCACTGAGCCAAACCTGTTTCGGCAAAGGGCCATATAAGTTTATGGGAGACAGAGAGAGGGGCTGGAAGAGTCTGGGTGGGCAGCCCAGAGGGAGGTGGGGCCTGGTGGGAATAGCTCTCGAGCAAGGGTGCCCACTGCATGGTTCACATGCCCTGCAGTCATACCCCTGTGTGCAGGCTGATGGTCATTGCAGGGGTCTACTGGAGTCAGAAGCAGGACTCTGGTTCTGCCATTGACCAGCTGGGTACTTAGGGGAATCAGGTGGTGCTCTGGGCCACTGGAAAGTGGGCAATGACAGCACTTACCCCTCGATCGCCTGAGAAGTGGTTAAGATAATACATACAAATCATCCCCCAGGCTTGGCTGAACATCAACTCATCAATGCCTGCTATCTCAGGGGCAAGAGGTAGTGAGGGTCCTGGTGATGGTGGGGGCTGGCTACATCAGTGAGCTGGAGAGGCCCAGCTCATGAAGCAGAAGAAGGGGGGGCCAGGCCTGGGCAGGTGAGGAGCCTGTCACAGCAGTCTACCTCCAGGGTTTGGAGCTGGCACCAGGTCATGGTGGAGTCATCCATGGAAACTGGGGGCATGGGAGTGGCCATAGGCTTATAGCACCGGCTAAGTTGAAACCACTGTAGGAGATACAAGGGACTTTCAGGGGAGGCTAAGGGAGAAGCTGAGCAGAGTGGCAACCTGGGGTCCAGGGAGCAGGTGAGAAAGGATGGTTTCCCCACAGGAAAATACAGAAGCGGGCAAGGCCAGGGGTCCTCACAGAGTGAAGGATGCAGCGGAGGGAACAGAGAGGGTGCTGAAGGAGGGGTCACCAGGGCAGGTGGACAGGCTGGGAGGAATGCAGAGGGAAGGAACGGTGTGCTGGCAGCCCTGTCCCTCACATAGAGGGCTGAAAGCAGGTGCCCAGGCCCAGAGCTCTGAGAGGCGGCTGGCACACTCCCCCATTGCCCAGGCGCCCAGCGAAGGCTATGCTCCAGCCAAGGCCAAAGTTGAGGTGGGGTGGGGTGGGGGGTCAGAATGCATCCCACCCACAGCCCAGTGCTGGTCCTTTCCTGTCCTGGATTACTGTGGCTGGCGCTGGACCTCTGGAAGGTCAGCTGGTCCATACCAGCCAGGCCAAGGCTGGGAGTTGGTCCTGTGGAGAGATACCTCTCCTCACCTGGCCCCCCTCTCCAAGGATTCTCCCCTATGGGCCTCCTGACCTCTGAATCCTCTCCCCCCCCAAGTTTTCTCCCCCCACCCGCCACACAACCAGCCACAAAGATGCAGGTTGTGTTTCCCAAGTCCTGGGGCAGTGCTCCAGCGTCCTCTCTCTCCTGCGAAAGGAGGGTCTTTTGGCTTCTCTAGGATTGGGGACCCCATGGCTTGATCAAGAGCTTTCCCCCAAAAGTCAGCACGGAACCGAAGGGTCCCTGCAGCCCCTGCCCACTCTCCTAGGCGGCTTGTCTGGAGTCCTCGCTGCTGTCTGACGAGCGCCTTACCCGCACGTACCCTAATGGGCACACGCCCCAGCAAGGCCCGGTCCAGACCAGGCTGCGCGGGCCTGGAGGTGGGTGGGGGTCGAGATCCGGGGGGCGGTGCGCTGCGGGCGGCGGCCGCGGGGGGCGCTGCAGGGGCCGCCGTTAAAGCCCGAGCGCGGGCGCGCGCGCTCAGAGGGAACCGGGCAGCTTCTGTCGCTGCTGTCGCCGCGCCCGCCCGCCCGCCCGCCCCATCGTCCCGGCTGCACGGGACCCCGGCACCCCACTCCCCTCACGACTTGGCGCGGAGGCCTGTCGCCGGGCCCATGAAACCCTTCCGCCGGCTTAGCCCCAGCGCCGGACCCCAGACCCGCACCTGAGCGCGCGCCCGGAGCGCGGGCGGGCGGGCGGCGGCCGGGGCTGGGGCGGCATGGGGAAATTTCAGTCCAAGCACGGTGAGGCTGGGGCCCGGGGCGGGAGGGCGGCGGGCGGGCTGCTGGCGGGCGGGCGCCGGCCACTCACTCGCCCTTCCCTCTCCCGCGCCCTCCCCCTGGCGCGCCGCAGCCGCCGCAGCCTGCAAGCGGAGAGAGAGCCCCGAAGGTGAGCGGGCCGGGTGGGGCGGCGACCCGGCCGGGATCCGGAGCCCGGATCCCGGAGCCCGACGTGCGTTCTGCCCCGGTGCCCTCGGATGGATGGATGGATGGATGGGGCCGGGGGAGGGGGGAGAGGACCTTGTCGCGGGATCTCCGGGAGCGCGAAGGCCCCCACCCTACCCCAGCCCACCCTGGGCCCCGGCTCCCCATCTGGAAGCCCTGCGCCCCAGGCCGCGCGGAAACAGGGAACGGGGTGGGCCCGCCGGGCGGCGGGGCATCGTTAAGGCGCAGCGCCCGCCCGCGGGGCTCACGGCGCATCTCCTTCCCTCCTCGGTGCCCGGTTCCCGCGCTTCCTCCGGCCGGGCCGCAGGGGACAGCTTCGTGGTGTCTGCGCACTCGAGTGGCCGCAAAGGCACCGTGGAGGCGGAGCGGCGCGGCGGTGGGGAGCACCGCGCACGGGACAAGCAGGTAGGCGTGACGGGGTGGGGGTGGCGGTGGCGGTGGGGAGGGTCGGCCCGCGGGCCCCAGGGTCGCCAGTGCTAGAGTTGTGCCCCCTCGCGGGGACCCAGATGTAGAAGGCGCAGGCTGAGATGTCCCTATGGCGGGAGTGGTGCCCGCTGGGCCAGAGAATATGTCTGTCCCTCCCAGCCTCCCCAGGCCAGGCCAGTGGAGCTCCTGAGGGTGAGCCTCTAACATCCCAGGCTGGAGGTTTGGCGGGGAGGGGGCATGGTTTGCTTCAGGATCCATCGCTTGCACAGCAAAGGTGGACAGAGTTAGAGGCTTCCTATCTGCAGGGTGGGTGACCACTGGGCCTGCAGGGAGGCTCATGGAAAAGGCAGACTCCAGATGGACTTGGGGGAAGGGAGGGAGGGGGATCCCAGACTGCAGGTGCTGCCAGGGGCAATCAGAAGCAGAGAACTGCCTGAAGAGAGGGGTGGCACCAGAGGGGCCTGGATAAACGTTCACATGTTTGCCAAGCAGGAGAAGGTGGGCGTTGGGGGTGGGCATCATTGTGGCCTGGATCTGTGCAGATGGCTGGCCACACCAAATGGCTGAGCCCCCTACTGCCCACGGCTTGCCCCTTGCCCCCACCCTCTTTCCTCTGCTCGGCGGAAGTCATGTCTGTTTTTGGAACGGCATTCTTCTGGCCAGTTGACAAATGAAAAGTTCTGAGTGTATTTGTAAACACTGCACCTCACCCTGGGAAGGGCCCAGATTTGCCCTGAAATCAAACCCACACGGGAGTTAGAGTTCCTGCTTTCTGGGAGCAAAAGTTTAATTCCACACCCATGGAGGTAGGAAGTACTTCGTAAGGTACTTTCTGGGTAGCTCATTGGAACGTTGGATGGTAATGTAAAATGGGCTTGTGCTTCTTGGTACTGAGGGATGAGGGTGCTGCCCCAGAGCAGCCCAGGTCCGTCTTTCTCCTCTGAGAGAAGTGGGGTGTTGGTAACAGGATGGTACATCTTAGCTTGGTTCTCCCGTGTGTAGCAGGTATGGGGGGGGGGGGGAAGGGGCAGGCGGGAAACTGTGCGAGCGTCAGCTTCATGGTCAAGGGTTTAGGCTGGGCCTAGTTCCACCAGCTGTACTGCTTGGGGGCTTTGTTCTTGGGGACATGATTCACTCAGTCCTCTGGGCGCTTGCTCTCATCTGTTCAGAAGGTGGTGACATAACGAGGTGGTCCAGCAGCAGCAAGCAGTGCTTCCCCTGAGCTGAGGGGCTCCCCGGCGTTGCTGTGAGATTGTGGAGCTAGGGCTGGACCCATCTTGTAGGCTGATGGACGCCACTCCTGGGACATTTTTTTTTTTAAGATTGGTGTGCGAGTTGGCTTAGGTTGTTCTCTTTTCATTCTGCCCTCAGCTATGGTCTGAATAGTTGTGTTTCCCCAAAATTCATAAGTTGACATCTAACCCCCAAGGTAACGGTGTTAGGAGGTGAAGCAATAGGGAGGCCAATAGGTCATGAGGGAGGAGCCCTGATGGTGGGATCCCTGTCCTTCTGAGCACCTCCAGAGAGAGGCCTGTCCGGTCTGCCGCGTGAGGACCCAGCAGCAGGGTGCCGTCAGCAGACGCAGAGTCTGTGGCACCTTGATCTTGGACGTGCGGCCTCCAGCACCGTGAGAAATAAATGTCTGCTGTTTATAAGCCACCCAGTCTGTGGTCTTGGTTGTAGCAGCTCTAATTGACTAAGACACCTTCCTGTCATGAAAAAAAGGTCCTTTTAACAAAATCTCAGAATACAGGATGGCCCTTTAAATTGAATGCATTTTAGCTTTAAGACAACAGCACTGCATTTGCCGCATTTGCCTTATTTCATCATGGGGCCGCCAGCCCCTCCGCCAGGCACCAGCCGGGAGTTCAGATCTCCTGGACCAGGCCCATCTCGCCCGGCCACAGAAGCACAGGTATCCTCACCACTGCCGCCTCACGGCTCCCGTGCTTGCCAGGCTTCCCTGGGCACCACTGGGGTGGCTCTGGCCCAGGTTGAGTGTGACCCCTGCCTCACCACCCCTGCTCCTGGGTCTGCCCCTGGAAGTTGCTCCATCGGGGGATGTTTGGCTGTTGAGTCCTACAGATCTCTGGTCTCCAGCCCAGTGTCCTGAGCCCCTGTCTTTGTGTGGAGCCCAGAGCGCCACCCATCATCTCTGCCCTCCCAGGTGACGTCCTTGAGGAAGGCCAGCCTGGGCCAGGCAGCCACCCGGTGAGTCTGACTAGGGCCAGTGAGGAGGTACGCTCCTTCCTGCCCTGAAGCTCGCCCTGTATGCTGCCCCAGGAACTGTGGCAAATGGCCTCATGGAAATCAAGTGCATCTAACTATCGCCGAAATAAAGGCAAGGAAGTTGGTTTTGTCCATAATTGTTAATGGGTTATGCTGGCTCCTGGTATCTCTTAGTGCCCATCTAAAAAAAGTTCTTATAAGCACTAGCATTTTCCAGGCGCGTGCACTCCCTGCTTTACAGTCTAGAATAGTGTTGCTGTTGATTCTGAGAAATGCTGCAGGCTGATCATGGCAGGACCTGTGTCGGTTCATTGCTGAGTGCCCCTGAAGGGCCAGAGCTGTGCCAGGGTGGTGTGGGGTGTTGGCAAGTGCAGCACAGAGGATGTAAGAAGTGGAGTGACTGAGCTCATGCGTGTGTGAAAATTGTGGGAAGTGACAGCAGTAGCACCAGCAGCACTTGGCAGTGCTGTTTCTAAAGGTGGATTCAGCCACGGAGCAGCGGGGCCATGGCTACGGGTGGGGCCAGCCACGGAGCAGCCGGGGTCACGGTGAGGCTCTGTGGAGACCCGGTGGTCACTGTCCTGGAATCGCCCTTCCCTGCACATAGCCACTCACCCTCTGTCCGCCTCGCTCTAATTTCTCCAACGCACCCTGAGGCTGGAGGCTGGCAGGGAAAGTTCAGAAGATAAGAATCGCTGCTAACAATTGAAATGTTGTTGATAAAACACTGATTTCCATTTGTTAAGCCTGAGAAAGGGATGTTTTGTCAACATTTTAACTGAGACTTGAGACAGAAGTGCCTGAGTGGGGAGGCCCCTTGGGCCTGGCTGAGGCCTCCTGCCTGGTGGGACTCGCTGAGGTCTGCAAGGATGCAACTTCTCAGCCTCTGAGGTGTCGGGACAGGCCGCTGGGCAAGGCTCTGCCCGTACTGTCTTGGGTGGATCTACACACAGTTGCACACATGTGCACACAACAGTCTTGTGTGCACTGACATGTAGCACCTGTTCCTGACGGAGGCAGCCTTGCAGGGGGTCTAGAAGGCAAACCCTGAAACCCCACTGAGAGACTCACCTCTGGACAGGCCTCTGGCTTCCAGCAAACTCCACCTGCCCTCCATGTGGTCTTGTCCACAGGTGACCTCTCACTGCTTTTGTAATCTGGGGACTCCACCCCCTGGCATGGTTTGATGCCGTCCACTTGGTTAGAGTTCCCAGGACATCTGACCCCCTTTGTCTCTGCAGCAGGCAGTCTCTGGGGCAGGGCTGCTCCTTCCCGCTCTCCTGGCAGCCCAGGAGCCAGCGCTCACCTGCCCACCTACTCAGCACACCTCCCAGAGGACATGGCGGCAGCAGGATTCACACATGTCAGTTGAGATTCGTTGAGACGTTAACTCTGGCTTCTTGTCAAAATCCCTGGGAAATCCCCTTGGCTTCGCACGAAATCTGGACACCACACCGACTGCACATCAACACGTGTCCTGAGACGTGTGGGTGCCATGGAGCCCTGGGCTATCGGGCCACAGGCCTCCTGAAAGGAGCTTCCGCCTTCTGTGACCCATGCTCTGGGATACTAACCTCACGGAGTCCCAGCCTTTGCGGGGTGTCCGGGCCTCGGGGCTGGCAGCTCTTCACTGTCTTTTGGCACCCCCTCTGGGAACCTTGGATACAGGCAGCCATGTCCCTGCCCTCCGGCATGGTCCTGCCATGTGAGGAGGCCGGCACAAAGGTGCACAGAAGCCTGAAGGCTCAATGGATGTGGGGGAGCTGACAACAAGTCCCGGAGGTCCAGGCCTTGTGAGCACCAGGGGCCTCTCCCCACGGTCAGCCACTTCAGCCCCTCACCACCACTCATGCTTCTGAAATTGCAAATGGCCCTCCTGGACCCCATCCTCCCCGAGGATGAGCCAAGGGGTCCCAACTAATTCACATCTGAGAAGCCACCAGGCCACTTGGTGGGAAACACCTCCTGGAAAGAGGTGATGGGACTAACCTAAGGACCCTGAGGGAGCTCACTGCTCTGAGTGTGTTTCTGGAGGAAGTAGCTCAAGTTCGCCTCCTTTCCTCGCCTGGAAATGTGGACGGGTGCTGTCTGCAGAGAGGACTCTCAGGGGGAAAGGGAGCCACCGCGCTCAGCTGGCTGTCCCCCGTGTCAGTGGGGTTGCAGGAGGTGCTGGGGCCATCTGTGGGCAGGCAGCCAACAGCATCAGACACTCAGGAGAGACTGAGGACCGTAGGGACGGGCTGGGTGCCATGCACCTGCCTCTGCCCAGCCAGGTGCCCATTGAAGGGCTCAGCTGCTAACGGGTAGTATGTATGCCCACCTCTCATTAGCTCAGATGCGGGTACCCTCATGTTGTGTGTCAAGGACTCATGACCACCAGCGAGCTGAGCTCGGACCCCGTCCTTGGGGTTAGGCCAGCAGATCCTGGGGGTGACCACAGCAGGGCTGCAGGCTGGCTGCAGAGCCTGTCCCCCATCCAGGTCAGTGGTCAGTAGCGGCACTTCCCCCGGGATGCTGGTCTTGAGAAGCTCCCTGGAAGCTGTTGGAGATGCACCATGTGCTGCTGGCCTGTCCAGGAGACATGGCACCTGCTCAGACGTGTTTTCATGGGGCAGCGGCTTTGGTATGCTGGTTTCCACAGGTAGACAAGGCCAGGCTGCTCAGGGACCCAGTTCTGAGTGTGTGTGTGGAGGGTGGGGGGGGGGGAGATGCGGTTCACAGGCAGAGTGAAGGAGCCCGCAGATTGCAGA